GAATGATAGTTACAACAGTAGTCCTGACAAATGCAGCGCAAGCGAAGTGTTTTCGCTCTCAATGCCGATCACGTATGTATGCAGTCACACATCAGATCTTGAACCTCAATTGTGTCTTGAGCCAAAATGGCGATCAATGGAACTTGGGAAGCAACACCAACAAGGACCTCAGAACAGCTACCCAATTTCGGCACGGGGCCTAGAGGGTTTTAACATCCCCCATTTGGGTCGCATTGTTCATCATGCGGTCCAAACACCACAAAACGTTCCACTGGCCACGGCTTCAACTACGAAATCGTGTCGTGCATTCTTTTACTTGCTATCACTACACCGTTCATTCGCTGTGAAACATGCCGGGTTCGATTGTACGAAAAGTGAAACATTCATCCTCCAATCGAAGCACACATCCATATGCAGGTGTATGTAATACACAATCGTCGCGTCATTTGACCACCAATGAACAATCCAGCTGCCGCATTTGCGCATCGCGCAGCTGTCATCCATAAATGGGTTGGCCGAAAAAGTCCACCAGAGGCGCCTGCTCGCAATCGGTCTGCATAATTCCGGCAAAGAAACATCGGTGAGTAATCAATGCAAATCATAGCCATTCCAGATACCATGGACAATGCATAAATAATGAAAAGATATCATCTATAAGGTAATAGTTCCATCCATGAATATCCAGAGCGTCATAGTCATCGGAATATGTAACCATGTACACACCCAATCATCTTGGACACATGAATAAAAATCATGACATAAGTCGTTCCACCGAAACAGTGTCGATGTGACGCAAGTAACAGATGGGGACTGACCCACATCGTACCGCAATCAGCATCTTCACGAAGCATACCTGTCCCCAATGGACAGCCTATGGGTACGTCGGCGGAGCTCCTCGTCCAAGTTCTTCTGGGCTTCTCGTGCCCGGACACACTTCTTGTTGTAGTCCTCTGGCAACCAGTGCCCTTTCCGAAGGCACCAATCCAGCAGGGGTGTGTCGCATTTGTTCGGGTCGATGGCCGAGATGATGGCGCTCACGTTGACCGTGTAACCATTCTTGCCAAGGTTCAGGCCATCCCTCACGAATGATATATACTTACAGTTGAAAGCCAGTGCAAAGCATCTGAAAATAATATCACCCACCGGGTGCACTCGGTCCTTGACCAGGAGCTTCATTTCTTCCTTGGTGACATCGAGGATTCTCGCTGCAATCCACAGCTTGTAGAATGTGTATAGTCCCTCGCATTTGCACACCATCATACGAATATATTCGTCACGCTCCTCAACCGATCGGAAGGCTCTTGTCCGAACATTCTCCGATTGAGAAATCTTCGTTATTGTTGATGGCAAAAGTATACCTTCCTGATCATGCTCGGTGATGTTGGGGTACCTCTTGAAGTCATTGTGATAAGGGCAGCCCGGCCTCCCTTCGAGTCCGGCATTCATCGTTCTCTCCTCACCACCTTCAAACATCCCCCACATCTTGGACAGCTGGAGTGCGATAAATCCTGCCATGTACTGAGCCTCACGCGGCTCGTCAAGGCAGATCGCCATCCGTTGGGAACGTATAATGTCCCGTGACGCCAGATCGGTGTCGCGGTAATGCCAACCGCTGTCTTCTTCTTCTGACGCATAGCCGGATGTATATCCTTGCGTGTCCATGTCGTCATCTTCGCCCGGAACTTCCTCCGCTTCGTCTTCATCCTCCTGTGCTGCCGCATCGTGGTTAGCTTCTTCCTGTGCACGCCTGGCATCTCCAGAGACGTTGGGGTTTTGGTTGTCCTCCTCGTCATCGGATTTGATGTGAATGTAATACCTTCCGATGGAGATCAGTTGTGCTTCGCATTCCAGGCATAAGCAGAAGCAGGTGGGGATCGCGGTCGCACATGATGGACATATCCGGCACCTCAGTCCTTCCCATGTCTCGTCATTCAGGATGACGACTTTGCTGATTTCGTCCCGGACCTCGTTGACCTGTGCATTGAACTCTTCCATCTTGTTGATTCGATAGAGTTCGCAGGCACGATTAACCATGTCAACGATGTAGTGCAGATTATCGGCAC